ACGCAGTCCCATAAGGACGAAAACTTGAAAAAACTTCGAAAAAAATCCAAAAATTACGAAAGGAGGAAGTTTTCTACTGGAAGATGAGGCTCTACATTTTTGATCTCAACATAGAACGTGGTCAAAATAACAAATAACGTTTACTCCAAAAACGATTTCTTTTCTTTCTCAAAAAATAAAAAAATGTATTTTTTATCAGCGAGTTTTGCAGATCGGATCCAAGTGGGCGGAGCCAATCAAAAGTATCCACAAAATTCTTAGAAGTTCAAGTGTACTAACTGTATGTAATACCAACACATTTGGAACAGTTTGAGTTTTTTTCGTACATAAGACAATAGGTCGATGCTCGAAAACTACAGAGAATGTGTGTAAAAATCTGAAGAAACAAAACATTTTATTCGAAATCGCTATTCATGTTAATAACAATACTGCATTTCACACAAACTGTTCACTGTTTTCAGAATCAGACTTCAAAACTCATAAAAACATGCGAAAAAACCATTGAAAAACACATTTTGTAATAAAAACCGGTTTATTACAACATTATAATCATTTTACTGAAGCATGTGGCGGATCAGGGATGAAAACACAATGTGGACCAGCCACCTGAGAAAAAACTGTGAACCTATCTCCAACGAACACAAATTAAGACTTAGCAGAAGCTAGGGGACACGAGCACACCGAGCCCGTAGGAAAGTAACGGGGAAAATATGAAAGACGCAGGTAATTAGATGGGCTATATGCTAACTAAAACAACAAGGAGGAAAATAGCGAATTACTATGAGGACCTACTATTAGAGTATGTTGATCATGCTTAAAATGATGAGGCGGAATTTTCAGGGAATGGGATCCTTAGGCTTTGGCCTCCAGCCCACAGGGCTGTCACAGGTCAAGTAAGAGAGAAGTGGCTTATTTAAATCACTATATGCTTCAAGAGCAGCGTAAAAACAGGGAAATACCATGGGGACCTACTATTAAGATATTATGATTAACCTAGTCTTGAAAATAATGGGACGGGATTTTTCGGGGATGTAAATTTTTGAAAAAAAGTTCACATTTTTAAAGTGAGCATGTAGGGGTACATGGAATTAAAATTAAAAATATTTTTTTTTCAAAAGTTTCTCTTAAATGGACGGTGAGCTATATATTTAAGACTATAGTTGTGCATTATGACATGAAAGGAATCTAATAGACATAGTCTCCCAAAGGTGTTTTTTTTGTAGCCTACAATCTGTTTTATCTGCCCAATCGCCAAGTTCAACGCTATTTTGCTAATTTGGTAAATTTCCTAGTATAACTACTAAGACTTGAACAATTAAAATAAAATCTACTTTCAGGCTTACTTGAGATTCAATTGAAAAAATGTGGTAGTATGAACAGAAATCGAATTTTCGTCAGATTTTTGAAACCAAGCGAACATGAATGGTTATTTCGGGCACAACGAGAGACAAAAACATCACAATATGCTCTTCAAATATTAATTTTTACGGTTAGTTCGAACAGAAAAGATCTAATGATACTCTTCGTCATGACTTTCGTTCAGATTTCAATGTCGGTCATCTTCACTAAGAAATAAAGGGGAGACACATCTCTTTACAATTGTGCAGTGCAGACATGAGCAGCATTGAGCTCAATATGAAAATGTGTCTAATATAAATGAGCGTGTTAATTTTTCGTAGCAAATTTAACGGTTTCCCCAGAATACAAACTTTTTCTCATTTTCAGGTTTTGATTCATTTTATTTTAATGATGTGCACACTGTCGGTTGAGGATAACAAGCAACGCACAACAATTGATGAAGTGGGACCCTGAAAAACAAAGAATTTGAAATGCAGGAAAAAAACTTTGAAAAAAAAAACCAAAAACGAGCGGCGCATAATGAAGTAGGGCCTTGTGAATCTGAGGTTTGTATCAGATGAAAGGCTCGCCGATGTGGGTCTGGAGGATTTTTGTCTCAATTTCTCCTTTTTCTCTCAATTTTTTTAGAACGATATGGGTGAAATTGAGCCAAAAATGCTTCGGACCTGCGTCGGCAAGTCTTCTTTCTGAAACATTGAATGGGCACGTCGTTCCAGTCAATTTAGAAGAAATAATGCGTGAAAGTGAGCCGAATATGCTTCGGACCTGCGTAGTGTTCTCTCAGGCGCGAAAGTC